CGGAAGTGGCGCTGTGGCTCAAGTGGTAGAGCACTAGCCTTGAGCTGAAGAGCTGAGGGACAGCGCCCAGGCCCAGAGTTCAGGCCCCACAACTGGACCCCCCCAAAAATGCTTCTTTTGTTGAAAAGCAATCTGTGAGGGAGAGAGTTGGGAGAACATTATTGAAGCAGTTAATATGATTTATTATATTTGTAAATAGAATTATGTAGAGTTTTTCAGTAACTAAAGTGTTCTTTAAAATATTGTTTTGGAAGTATTGATAGTGAAGTGTGACTAAATGTCATTTTCTTCACTCATAAATGAATATTATTTATAACTTGTATTTATAAGAATATACCAAGAAAGCTCACGATAAGCTTCATGAAGGCTGCCACTATTGAAATTCAGAATTGATGCTAAACCTACCTCATCTCTGAATCATATTTTAAATTTGAATTAACTCAAGAAAGTAATAAGGATTTAGAATCCTTATAGAATTAGTAAAGCAGTCCAGCCATTTGCTGTAGGACAAGCTATGTCAGTAAGCCTCGTTGTTGTTGGTGAATGAGGGTGTACAGAATCTTGAGTATACAGCAGTTCGTATTGATGGGGACTTGTGAGTTAAAGAACTGGCTTAAAATTATGAAGATTTTCCAGTGGCATCTGATTCAACTGTTTCATTGACAAAGAAACTTACTCCCCGAGAGGTTTTTTGAACTACCAAAGACAATAGCTAAGCTTTGCTGACTAAACTAGCACCAGCTCCTACGATTTTGGAAATATTTATTCCACCATGAAGTAGAGCATTTCATCAGCAGTAACTGGCAATTTCAAGTTTTAGACCTCCTTGCCTTTTTAAGAGCTCAATTTTTCTTGTTTACTGTTTCCCCTTAAATTGTTCCCTGGGATGTTTCCTTTGGCTCCCCACAGATTAGCTTGTTTATTCGTAAATGCTAGCAGCTACCACAAAAGAGCCAGGCTATTAAAAAATTAATCCTATTATTTGAAGGGGAATGACCAAAACAGCTGTAAGAACATGTATTATTTGTCAGACCATCTTCTAAAACCATTACATGGGTTTTTCATTTAATCTTCCTAACAACCCAGGATGTAGGTCATTGTTGTTATCCTCCTTTTCCACATAGGGAAATGGAGGCAGAGGGGGTCAGGTAGGCTGCTGGAGGTCATATGGTTAGTAATGGAGAGCTTCAACCTGGCTGGAGAGTGTAAGGGGAAGGAAGCTAAATAATATTCTAATCAAAATTTAGTTCTGGAGCTTGAATTCAGGACCTGGCTGCTGTCCTTGAGCTCTTTTGCTCAAGGCTAGTGCTCTACGACTTCAGCCACAGCTTCACCTCTGAACTTCTGATATTCATTTTTTGGGGGAGGTGGGGAGTGGTTCATTGGAGATAAGAGTATCACAGACTTTCCTACCCACGCTGGTTTTTAACTTTAATCCTGAGATCTGAGCCTCTGGAGTAGCTAGGTTTACAGGTGTAAGCCACCCATGCCTCGCTAATGCATGGTATTTAAATTTTTTATCTGGAGTTTTGGCAAGGAATTACTTTTCCATAATAAGTAATTTAAGTGACTTATTACAATTTTGAATATTATTTTTATTCTTTCATCCTAATTTCTAAATGAAATTCATAAGAAAGCGTGCTATTTTGGTCATTGTAGCTTTATAATGTTCTTTGAAGTCAGATAGTGTGATGCCTCCAGCTTTGCCCTTTTTGCTCAGGATTACAGGCTATTCTGGATTTTCTCTGTTCCATATGACTTGACATGAGAAATGACACATCTTATTTGGAGTTTACAAGCCCAGATTTAGGGCTTATTAATCTTCCATTTCAGAAGCAGAAGAGTAGAAGGAGGAAATATACCACATAGGAGCAGAGTGACAATGAGAAGCTAAGAACTAGAGTCTGGCTTCTCTGGTTTTAGTGTAGTACTTCATGGGATTGTTGATTTGACTTTGGAAGGTACACAAAAGGAGTAGAAAGAAGGACAAAAGCCCTGTTAGACATGTCCCATCTTGAAAAAGCGGAGGACTATGAGGGGGGCTGCTCATGTTCTCCCGAAGTCATCCCCATGATTCTTAGTCTTCCACCCCAGATGATCTACTAACTGTTTTACACTAGCCTAGTGAGGAGCTTCTGAACTTCCACTGGGTCTATATGTAATGGTACTATTTATAGATCTGTAGAACCTTAGCATTCCTTTCATGAATAATAAGTAGAAATCAATATTTTGAAATATAGTGTAGGTTAGCTTTTTCCTCTGCTATGATCCTTGATTTTATTTGTCAAATATTTTTGTATTATGCTATTATCATGAGAACATCAACACCAGTGGTCTAAAAGCCCTTTTACTGTGAGAATGTTTTGTTAACAGCCAACTGTTTTTAGTCTGGCAGCCGTGGAACCATCCATGATGCTGCTGGAAAAGGTGAAGAGATACCTGAAGTGTCCTGTGTGGATTAATGCTGATATTCTTCCGGGTCCAAATGGGAGTAGCAAGGTAGTAGATGCGAAACCATTTATAGACACCGTGACATCCTTCTTTCCAGATGTGACATTTTCCCTTGGTTGGACAACAGGCTGGCATCCTGAAAAAGTCAATGAAGGTGATTGATCATTCTAATAATGTGTTTAAAGTTAGTCAAATTAAAATATCCTCCAGTTATAAAAATAGTACCTTTAATACAAAGCCAATAAAAAAACAAACCCCTGCCAACAAAATCTAAGAGTCTAGTGCTGAGAAAGTCCTGACCCTTCATGTATGGGTTTGACCCTTCTTTCACAATGGCACCGTGCTCATTGGTTTCACTCTCTTCATCTGTCACCAAATGGAAATACTTGGTTGAAAAGTCTAGATTTACTGAAGTGAAGTTGCCTCTTTACATATTTTGAACAAGTCCTGAGTTGCTCTTGTGTTGTTGTTGAACCGTTGAACCATTTTAGTGCCTTCTTCACCCTCTCCCCCAATTATACTGTGAAGCAGACTCTATATTTTAGATAATGGATGCAAAAACTTTTCAGAAGTAAGAGTAATTGAAGAGCAAAAGTTCTGCCCTTTAGATATTAGAGGCACCTCCTTACGTTTCTTTGATTGGACAAGACATTGGGAAGCCTGGAGACACTTCTGGGGCTAGATTTGTTCTTTGCATTCGCATCCTGCTACAGGTAGACATGATCAGCTTCTTATTACACTCCCTTGGCTCATGTTTGTATTTTCTTTGCAAATCCTTAGGCAGTGATGTCTAGGTTAAACAGCCAGCAAACAACTCAGTGCCCTAGAACATTAGTTCACGTGGTAAAAGTAATAAAGTAGATAGCATTTGGAATCTATACAGGTTTTATCTATGGGCTTCAGCGCACTCCTTTTTTCTGTTTGAGGGCCTGGATCCTGTCCCTGAGCTTGTGTGTTCAAGGCCAGAGCTCTACCACTTAAGCCACATTTCTACCTCTGGCATTTTGGTGGTTAAGTGGAGATAAGATCCTCAGATCTCAGCCTTCTGTGTAGGTAGGATTATTGATGTGAGCTAGTCATTTTTAAATTAATTGGCTATTGCTTTGTATTATCATTATGTGTGTATGGGGGTGCTGAGGATTGAATTTATTGTCCTATTACTGAGTTGTTTCCTCAGTTCCATGTTCAGCATGAGGTTAGAGTAACTGCCACCTAGTGGGTAATGACACAGATTGTGACTTTCTTAGCCAATAATTGATACAATTGAGAGAAAAAAAACTATCCTAACTCAATTAAAAATTTCTAATCATTTAGGTTTTTATTATTTTCATTGAGGTAATACGTAATTTAAAATGCTGAAGAGTAGCACTGTTTGAAAAGAAATGTACTTACTTACGTAACTGTAACCCCTCTGTACATCACCTTACAGTAAAATAAAATTTTAAAAAATGCTTGAAGAAAATAAACTGAAAAGTATTTAGTACCTCTCTTGTGATTATAAACTCTATCTTGTCCCTGTGTAGTCTAACAAGGACTCTCCCCCAGGTTTGCACCTAGTAAACCATGTCTGCAACCAGAGTGTGCTCAAGTTCTTTTCCATCACTGTGTTCAACATTACCAACAAGTGCTTTATCCTGCTCTACTTCTTATGCTAAAGATTGTTAAAAAGAGTATGTATAGCTTTCTAACCATAGTATAGTTTCTGTTAGCAATCCCTTCTTCTAGTATTCTGTAATTTTGAAAACTTAAAGAAAAAAACATTTCCTTTTTATTTACCAGAAATTTACTTACTAAATTGAGATATTCACTGAGGATTTCTGCAAATCCTTCTTTACCTTCCACGACTTTTTACAACCCACTTTTGGTAGAGATTAGGGCGATACAAAATGAAACAGTGTTTAAATGCTATTTATACGCAACCAGTGCATTTTCTAGAATATCCCAACAAGATTTATAAAGTCAGTTTTACTTCTACTTCTACTATACATAAAATCTGTAAGTGATTTGGACTAGCCACAAAGAAAATTGAATTGAAGTCAGTTATCACTTAAACAGCTAATAAATACCTAGTAATCACTTTTTCTTGGAAAAGTTAACTAACACAAATAGAAAAATCTCCATTGATAGAGCATATTAATGATACAGAATTACCTAAGAGATGATACATACCTTAGAATCTTTCAGTAAAAATACTATCATATTTTTTTTATTTGAGAGATTAGAAGTTATTTATTTATTTTTGGTGCTGATACTAGAACTGGGCATTTTCACTCCCTGTTGGAGCTCTGCCGCTTGAACCACACCCCCACATAGCATTTTGCTAGTTATTTGGAGATAGAGTCTCTCAGACTTTTCTTCCCAGGCTGGCTTTGAACCTTGGTCCTCAGATTGCTGCTTCTTGAGTATCTAGTATTATAGACATAAGCCATTGATGCCTGACTTTGTGGGTTTTTCTTTTCTTTTCTTCTCTTTCTGTCTTTATGTACTTAAGAAAAAGATCTTAGCGATGAAGTAAATTAAAATTGTTTCAAATATGCTTTTTTTTACTTGAGAGATTAGTAAAACTTCCTTGGATTTTGTTTTCTATTTTTTGTTTTGTGCTGGAGATTGAACCCAAGCCTGACATATTTTAAGCTCATGTTCTATCATTGAGCTACACCTCTATCCCCTTAAAACCTCTTTAATGTTATAAGTTGTTGTGCTCTAGATTAATGTGGTATTTTTATTTATTTATTTATATTTTTGTTGGTCGTGGGGCTTAATCTCTGGGCTTGGGCACTGTCAGCTCAAGGCGAGCGCTCTACCACTTGAGCCACAGCGCCACTCCTGGTTTTCTGGTAGTTAATTGGAGATAAGAGACTCACAGACTTCCTGCTCAGGTGGGCTTTGAACCTTGATCCTCAGATCACAGCCTCCTGAGTAGCTAGGATTACAGGTGTGTGCCATTGGCGCCCGGCGATATGGTTTTTATATACATTTTCCACTACAGATATTTTCTTGGATAACCAAGTATGGGAGTGTGATTCTTAACAGAAAAATCATAAGTTTGAGGCTATTTGAGCTACATATTAAGAACCCTGTCTCTTAAACTTAAAACCTAAAACCATATTTGGTTGGGTTGGAGATATGACTTTGAGTTAGATAATTTGTTTGCCTTGAGTAAGACCCTAGGTACCTCCATCCTACCACACAATTAAAAAAATGTTCACTTGCATTGTGATATTTCAATTTACTCTGACTCCAAATGGAAAAACTTATAAATTTTCTATTCATTTACCTGTAAATTTGCAATAGATTTATCTATTTGAGCTAATTGATTTTTTATTTAATTGACTTCTAAGATTTTAATTAGAAATCTTCATTTTTTTTCTCTTTCATTTCAGGGTACAGTTGGACAATGGTGAAAGAGATGGAATATATATGCAGTGGACTCAGTCAGCCCGTAACATTCCCTGTCAGGGCAGCATTAGTCAGGCAGTCCTGTTCTCAGTTACTTTGGCTATTAACGAAATCAAACAGGTATGTATTAGTTTAGCAAGGTAAAGTGTGCAAGGTGTGCAAGTGAGTATGTGTGAGAATCAACTGAGCTTGAAAATCATAGGACAGTGTGTATGAGAAGAAAAGGAAATGGAAAAGGTTGTGTATATGCACAGATTCCCCCAGCAGATGGAAGCTCTGTGGACTTTCTCTTACTTAACAGCTAGGCTTTTAACCTGTTTCATACAAAAGGTTGTATATGAAATAGATGCTCCCCAAGGCTATCATCTTGCTTTATTATTACACAGTCACAAACTGTTAAAAGGGGATAAATTAGTTTCTCTCTTAATTAATTTCATTTCAGAAATCTTTTTCATACAAAGTTTTATTAAAATTCCCTTTTTTCTTTCTCTTTTCCTTCTTGGATGGATCTCTATATTGCATATATTGGGTGTATTAATCCCCGAAAGTTTATTCACAATTTTTCCTTGTTTTTATCCCCTTTTTTTTTCTTTTCTATGTATACAATTTCAAATAAACTCTTTGAGTTTATGGAGTATTTTTTCTGCTTGAGTCTGTTGCTCATTGTTGTATTTTTCATGACATTATATTCTTTAGTTCCAGGATTTCTGTTGGGTTCTTGTTTTATGATTTGTCTCTATTATATTTATTTTTTATTTTTTTGGGGGTCCGGTTGTGGGGCCTGAACTCTGGACCTGGGCGCTGTCCCTCAGCTCTTCAGCTCAAGGCTTAGCACTCTACCACTTGAGCCACAGCACCACTTCTGGCTTTTTTCTTTTTTGCTTATGTGGTGCTGAGGAATCGAACCCAGGGCCTCATGCATGCAAGGCAAGCGCTCTACCACTGAGCCACCTTCCCAGCCCCTCTATTGTATTTCTAATTTTGTTCATATGTTGATTTCCTGATTTCATTCTCTTATAGCTTCCTGAGCATCTTTTAGAACAGTGTTTTTACATTCACAGATATATCATAGTTTTTTCATTTCTTCTATGTTGTTTAGAACAGAATTATTGTGAGCAGAGCACTGGTTGCTCATACCTGTAATCCTAGCTACTCAGGAGGTTGAGAGCCAGAGATCAAAGCCAACCCAGGTAGAAAAGTCCATGATACTCTCCAAAATAACCAGCAAAGAAGTGTGGCTCAAGTGACAAAGCCACTAGCTGAGCCAGGTTAGGCCAGTATGATACCCTGAATTTAGAAAACTGTAAGGAGAATAGCAGTAACAGTAGCAGCAGGAGGAAGAGGAGAAGGAGGAGGAAGAGTGGAGGAGGGGAAAGGGAAGAAAGTAGAGGAAAGAAGGAAGGAAGGAAGGCAGGCAGGCAAATAAGGAAGGAAGGAAGGAAGGGAGGGAGGAAAGAAGGAAGGAAGGAAGGAAGGAAGGCAATTACTGAGTTCCTTTGATAGAGTTATATTGTCAAATTTCAACTCTACTGAGCGTTTTAGATGGAAAGACCTTCCCAAGTCAAACTGTGTCAAGATTCTGTGGCTCTTCCATAACTGTTCTCTGGATGCACATACTTTACCCATCTTATTTCTTCTTTTGTGCTTTCTCTTAAGCTTGGACAGCCAGGCTGAGGGCTGGAAACCTCCTATTTATTTTCCTTCTTGTAGTGCTCTAAAGCAGTGAAGCATATTTTCCAAATTCAGAAGAATCAATCTGGCTATTTGTGCTCATGCATGATCTACAGAGGCTTGAGTGTGCCATCTGTGAGGATGCCATGGACGAAGGCGTCACAGAGTACTGGTTGTAATCATGGGCCTGTAGAGCATCCACAGGTATCCATCCTCCAAGGCTTGTAAGCAGAGATCTTGGAAGTCTGTGACATGATTAACGGGAACTACCCCCACTTCATTGAGTTCCATGGATTGATTGCTTTGAGCCCTCACCTCTTCTTCCTCCTAGTTGCCCTCAGACTTGATCAGATTCCCTCAGTATCCTGGGTAAGCTGAAAATGAATCAGATTTCTTGACCATCATCCCACAAGTTTAGGGAAACTGAGAATTCATTATGTTTCTACTTTCCCACATGGGAAAAATCAGATGGCAAGGAGGTCTCTTGCACCCTAACTGGATTACACTGGGAGAATGGGGTGTGGATAAAGTGAAACTGTTCTTTTTCACATTTCTCTAGTGTCTCCTTAATACTTTTTTCCATGGGTCATTGCCAAAAATCATTGTTTCTCTAGGAGGATGAGAGCTGAAAACTATTATGTGTGCTCGTGTAACTCATTGAAGATGACAGTCGTGCCCACATCTAGCTTCATGTAGAGTTGGGGAATGTAGTTTCTATTTTGTATGACATTTATGTCTAGAAAAGAATTCAGAGGTTTATTAAGTAAAAAGGAGAATGGATATTGAACAAAGCTGCCAGTTTCTGTCACACAGTTATATATACTGTTATTTAAATAAGAAATTGGTTCAAAAACCCAAAAGACTAAAGGATCATGCTGTGAAAAATCCTTTCTTCCATCTACCCAGTCTTCCTGACCAATCTTGCTAACCACAGTTGTCAGTTTCTTGTTATTTTATTTATTTATTTTTTTGGTCAGTCGTGGGGCTTGAACTCTGGGTTGGGCGCTGTCCCTGCGCTCTTCAGCTCAAGGCGAGCGCTCTACTGCTTGAGCTACAGCACCACTTCCTGTTTCCTAGTGGTTTATTGGAGATAAGAGTCTCACGGTCTCTCCTGCCCAGGCTTGCTTTGAACCATGATCCTCAGATCTCAGCCTCCTGAGTAGCTAGGATTGCAGGCATGAGCCACCGGTGCCCAGCTAACAGTTGTCAGTTTCTTATTAACCTGTTATTAGCTTCTTTGTAAATATAAGTGGATATGTAAATATAGATTCTTATTTTCCCTCCTTGTAAAACAAAATATCCATTGTATACAGCTAGCTTATTAAGGTAAGAGGACAAGAGATGAGAAGTGAGGGAGAAGAGAGGTTGTGCTGGAGCAGGGACACAGAGGTCCCTCCTGAGGTGTTGTTTTGTGTTTGGGTTAACTGACTTATTCTTGATGATAACTTATATAACTTATGTATGTTTTTTGGACAGTAAGAAGCTTTAAAATGTAGGTAGATAATTTATTTGAATGAACATAATTTAAGATACTCTTTAGCAATTTTGTTTTTTCATTTTTATTTAAGTTCAGTGGGGGGGGGGAATATGAAATGAGGCAAGCTAACACTGGAAAGCTCTTCTTTTAACCACGATGATCATATCTGTGTCTTTTTATAAGTCTTGTCACCATGGTGCCCAGATAAATTAATAGATTCCATTCTAGCATGAAATATAGGCTTCAAAGAGAATTTTCACTTTTCCTTTCCTCTATGATCTGTGTGGTACTTTAAAATTATTTCTGGTAGTGGCGCCGTAGCTCAAGTGGTAGAGCGCTCGCTTTGAGTTGAAGAGCTGAGGGACAACGCCCAGGCCCAGAGTTCAAGCCCCACGACTGACAAAAAAAAAAAAAAACTATATAAAATTATTTCTGGTTTGTTATATACTACTGCTGTGGCAAAATCCAAAGTACTTTCCTTTGTTATATATCGAAAATGGTGTAACTGTTCACGAGGGCAGGAATATGTCAGTGTAACAAGACCATATGCCCAATTACACAGCTATTTCTTATGGGTAGTAGAAGAAATGCTTTGGGGATTACCTCCTCCCTTCCTCCAAATTATGACAAATTTATGGGGAAAATAAATATGAAACTTCTTAGGGCTTTGCTTTTCCATAGACTCTAATGTAACCATATGACTGAAAGAAATTATTATTGTTGTTGTTGTTGTTGTTTTACTAGTCCTGGGGCTTGAACTCAGGGCCTGGGTGCTGTCCCTGAAGCTCTTTTGCTCAAGTCTAGGACTCCACCACTTGAGCCACAGCTCCACTGCTGGCTTTTTAGTAGTTCATCGGAGATAAGAATCTCATGTATTTTCCTGCCTGGCTGGCTTTGTAGCTGAGATTACAGGTGTGAGCCACCAGGACCTGGCTAAGAAATGGATATAGGGTAGAAATGACATTTTGATTACAGTATTCCTAAATCCATAAAATGTTGCATATGTTATTGTTCTTTAACTTAAGAATTGGTTGTAAATTTATTCTTTCTAATATTCTTAATGACATCCCTTGATGTGTTATCATCTCATACAAAAATCTCCCAGAGATAGCAGGGCCATCAAAAGTGACTATGGATGTTGACAATGGTAGTGATATCCTGGTCCCTTCACATTCTGCTGTTAATGCTTTCCCCTCATACAGACTACTGAATAAACCCAGGTTACAGCTCTCATTTTTTTGCGTATGTGCCAGTCCTGGAGCTTGAACTTGGCCTGAGCACTGTCCCTGAGCTCTTTTGCTCAAGGCTAGTGCTGTAGCACTTGAGCCTCAACTCTACTTCCAGCTTTTTGATGGTTAATTGGAGATAAGAGTCCACAGACTTGCTTTCCTGGGTTGGTTTCTAACTGCAATCCTCAGATCTCAGCCTCCTGAGTAGCTAGGATTACAGGTGTGAGCCAATTGGGCCCAGTAACAGCTGTATTTTTTTAATCTTTTTTTTTTTTTTTAAATCAGTCCTGGGGCTTGAACTTTGAGCCTGGGCATTGTCCCTGAGCTCTTCAGCTCAAAGTGAGGGTCTACCACTTGAGCCACAGCACCACTTCCAGTTTTCTGGTGGTTTATTGGAGATAAGAGTCTCATGGACTTTCCTGCCCAGGGTGGCTTTGAACTGCAGTCCTCAGATCTCAGCCTCTTGAATAGCTAGGATTACAGGCATAAGCCACCAGTGCCTGGCTTAACAGCTGTAATTTTGACATTAGGTAACACAGTCCCTTCAGTTCCTTTTTCCAAAATTTGACATATTTTTATTTATTTATTTATTGTGTTACTAGTCTGAGTTTCTAAAAGCCATGTAAGGACTGGGATATAGCTCAGTGGCAAAGCACTTGCCTAGCAAGTGCAATGTCCTGGATTCAGTCCCCAATACCAAAACAGAAAAGATATATATATATATATATATACACATATATATATGTGTATATATCTGTGTATATATATGTATATGTATATTTGGCTTTATATATATATATATATATATATGCAGTTTAAAAACCCAAACAAAAAAAATCCATGTAGTATTTCTGTAATTCAAATATAGTTGTTATGCAATTTTGACAAACACCGGTGTTAAATTTTTTAAATCTCTAGTCTCTTTGTTGTTGATGAAGGAATGAAATAGGAAAGTATAGTTATACTATTGCTAATTAACTTAAGTTTGTGTATGTTTGGTATAGAAACAAATATGTATTTTTAGACTTAGAATCACTTGCCATTGTTTTTTACCAAAAAAAAAATGGCTTTTAACTACATAGTTCTCTTATTTTAATACAGGTACAGCCTGACTATTTGGACTGGAAAAACTGATAACTATCCCACTGAAGATTTGCTTTATATTAGAGAACACTTTAATAAAAATCAAGTTTTCTATGACATTTTGGAACCACAAAATCAAGAATTTAAACAAGCCATTGGAATCAAAGTTAATTTCTGAGAAAATTTGTCTACATTACTTCCTGTTATCATATCCATATGTGCTTTATTTTTGCAGTTATTTGACAAAGGTGAAAGGGACAATTTCATTTTAGTATTTTAACAGCTGCCATAAAATCATTTTTTTAGTTACAGTAAAAATACTTAACTTGGGATAATGTTGCATGTCTGCAATTCCAGCGTTTGGAAGGCTGAGGCAGATGGCTATATAGTGAAGGTTTGTCTTAAAAGAACAACAACAACAAAACCTCTATGAGTTTTCTCCTAATGACCATGCATTAATTTTGTGAAAAGACCGGAATAAATAAATTGCAATTTGGTGATATTTGACCCTCTATTCTTTAACCCTAAATAGTTTGTTTTTTTGTTTTCACTGGTCCCAAGGCTTGAACTCTGGGCCTGGGTTTCTCCCTGAGCTTCTTTTGTTCAAGGCTAGCATTCTACCATTTGAACCACAGCCCCACTTCTAGCTTTTAGTCATAATTGGAGATATGAGTCACATGGACCTTTTGGCCCAGGCTGACATCCAACTGTGATCCTTAGATTTCAGCCTCCTGAATAGCTAGGTTTACAGGTGTGACCCACCAGCACTTGGCTATTTTTTAAATGTTATGTTTAAAAAATCTTGTTGTGCACTGATGACTTACACCTATAATCCTATCTACTCAAGAGTCTGCTGGAAACTCAGGCAAATCTACAAGATTTTTGGAAATCAGATATCTGGAACTGGAGTTGTGGCACAAGTGGTAGAGTGCCAACAATGAGTAAAAAGTTGAATGAGAGTGTGAGGCCTTGAATTCAAGTCTAGTACCAGCACATACACATAAAAAAAGAGAAAAGAAAAATTGTTTTATGTTGAGATATCTATGAGTCTAATGTTACTTAGGTTAAGGTTTAGAGGTACACTTGTAAACTGTTCTTAGGAACATAAACAATTATGAAATTTATTCTGTTGAATAGCAAATTTGAATGATTATTCAGGGGGAAAAGCAATCTTTTTTTTTTGCGGGGGCGGGGGGGGGGTCCGGTTGTGGGGCCTGAACTCTGGGCCTGGGCATGTCACTCAGCTCTTCAGCTCAAGGCTAGCACTCTCCCACTTGAGCCACAGCGCCACTTCTGGCTTTTTTCTTTTTGCTTATGTGGTGCTGAGGAATCAAACCCAGGGCATCAGACATGCAAGGCAAGCGCTCTACCACTGAACCACCTTCCCAGCCCCATGGGAAAAGCAATCTTTATCCCTACTAATCCTCACACAGGTGGTGGTAAGCAGGAAGGGAACCCTTGAACTATGGAAAGTGAATCAAATCCATCAGGTATACTTGTGGGGAGTGGCCTTGCAGGCAGAAAAGGTACACCAGCCAGGTGGGAAAGAGCCTTTGTCTTGACATGGTCAAAACAAAATATGAGGTGCCAAACTATGAAGCAAGGGATAGATTTCCACACTAAATTCATACCTTTCCTCTTAGTCAGTGGGAGCCATGGCACTATTTTGAGGAGAAAAGGTTAACCATCAGGAAAGTGTAACAATGGGTTACAAAGGCAGGAAGAAGACAGAAGCCAATCAAAAAAGTAGGACTTCTTAAAATGAAAGAAGAAAACCTTTAAGTAGTATGGTAACAAAAGGAGATGAAGAAGCAGAGAGGGAAATTAAAAAGGAAGTCTTGTAGGAGTTTCAAAGCAAGACAAATGAGTATGGAAGAGCGGGGGAGGGATCTAGGATTCTTAGCTTGGATGACAGCAGGCCAGATAAAGTCACTGAGCCCAAACAGGATGAGAAAGAGGTTAGGCACGGCTTTATTTCCCCCCACTGGTTCGTTGATATTGCTACCCCATACCAACTAACAAAGATAAAGCCATCTATCTGACATTGGACTTAACCTACTATATTAAGAAAGATGTTCTATTTTTTATTTAATCCTGCCAGTTTCTTAAAAATCAACTATCCTTACTCCTCCACAAAATGCAGTTACTTCTATTTTACTACATATTTCAACTATTTGCTAATCTTATACATTAGGACCACCCACACAGCACCATCATCAGAGTGGAAAGAAAGCATGCAGCATGTGGCTCTCAAGGAGGGCTCCCTTTCTTCTCCCTTCTGCTCTCTGGTAGCACCCAGCCCACTAACCCTGGTGACTGAGTTGTGCTCACTATAGTTGGTGTTGTAGATCAAAGCTAGTAATTGCTCCCTATCTTCATGAACATGAATACAAAGGTAGAGTTATAGCTCTTGAAATCCTGAAATCCCAAAGCCTATTTTCAACAATATGTTATTTACTTTTTGTGACTGGACAAAAATACCTGACAAAAACAGAAGAATTTATTTTGGCTCATGGTTTCAGAGGGTTCTGTCCATAGTTGATTAGCTCCATGGTTTTGGGTAGAATAATCAAGAGAAGCTGGGGATGGATGAACTTCTTCACCTCACTAAATACAGGATACAGAAGGGGGAATCTAAGGGGAAAGGGACCAGGGACAAGATGCCCCATAAACTCCCCCCTCCAAGTAGCTGATTTCTTCCAGCTTGATGCCACCTCCTAAAGTCTCCAGAACTTCCCAAAACAGTGCCACTTGCTGGAGATCAAGCATCCTCCTGGTCTTGTGGGGACATTCCAATTTTTCAAACCATAGCAACCTTTCTTTTCAACCTGCAGAATCTAGAAGTATTAATATATAAATAAAGCCATCTCTAAATGACTCCTGCCATGGATCACTATTATCTATGTTCTTGGAAATCTTGGTCTCCAGTAACTAAAAATGGTACCTATAAAAGTTAATGAAGTTTCACTAAAGTTAAATCATATTGTTACATGATATTATAATTTAACCTAAGACCAGATTAAACACACACACACATGACTCTGTTATAAGCATCTGTGATTCAGCTTTGGCACATTAACATATATTTCACTTAATGGAGTGTAAAGTCCCATAGAATGGCCTTAGAACCAAATTCCAACAATCATGGCACTGAAAATATTCTTAGGTTTGCTAGCAAGTTAAAAAAAATAGTATTGAGTTTTTCCTAGCTTTCTTTAACAAATGTAGCACAATTTTTATGTTCAAACCTTTGCTCTCAGCACTTAAGAAATAAAAAAACAATAATCAGCAATAGTCAAAATGATTTTTTAAATCTTTATTGGTACTGTCTTCTTTATGAACTAATCTATTTACATGTTCTTCCAAACTATGCCCTTACAATGTAAAGTCAAGTACTTAACTCGATATTAAAACTCGCAAAAAGCAGTTAGCTACTTATAAACATCAGGTACAATTTTAAGTTCTGAATAAAAAAAATTTCTAATGTAATGAATGCTTTGTCAAAATATTAACTGGAAAAGCCTCTAATTTTTAAAATAAAGTCACAGTAAATAATTACTACGTACACAACAACTTGCTTTTATGACATTACTGAGAAGAGCACTGTGCCCAGCATTAGGCTCTTTTCTCTATTTCTAGAATGCAAATAAAGTTGTCTGTGACAATTATCAGGTTAATACCTTTACATTTTTAGTTGGATTTGATCTTTGTTTAGAGCTGCTAGTCTGAAATAAGTCTTTGTATAAACACCGTACTTGGAAGCCATGAAGATATAGTCATTTTTTGAATATTTTATAATAGTATTTATTTTGTTATTAACAGGTGCTAGAATACTAAGGTGATTGGAATGTCACACTAAGGAAATTACTTTATCCTTATTGTATGGATGTCTAATAACTACCTATTTGAAATAAAAAGATATTAATACTGACCGAATGCTTAATACATTTTAGGATTACATTTATGCTTTTTAAAAAATAATTTTAGCTAATCTAATCTAGTAACTTTTCTTTTAAAATGAAGCAAGCATTTAGATTTATGATAAATCCCAAACTTTTTTCTTTTAAATGTTGTTTCCCCATTTGATTACTTCTTTTTGGAAGACAGGAATAGTAAGTGAAAAGGATGCCTTTTAATTTTTGTATTATCTTGTTATTGGAAAGATATGTGTAATAAAAGATATGGATGAAGCCAGGTGTTGGTGGCTCATAATTGTAATTCCAGTTACTCAGGAGGCTGAAATCTGAAGGTCAAGATTTAAAGACAGCCTCAGCAGACAAATATAAGAGACTCTTATCTCCATCTAATCATCCAAAAGCTGGAAGTGGAGGTATGGCTCAAGTGGTAGAGTGCCAATCTTGAGTATAACAGTTACGGGTAAGTTCGAGGCCCTAAATTTAAGTCCCAATACTGGCACACACACATACACACACATACACACACACACACTCACACTCACACATACACACACTAAAAAAAAACATGGAGGAAGAAAAATTCTCTAAGCTAACATTATATGGTAAGTTTGTTTAAAAAGACAAAATGAAAGCCAGGTGCCAGTGGTTCACATCTGTAATCCTAGCTACTCAGGGGTCTGAGATCTGAGGATTGTGGTTTGAAGCCAGCCCAGGGAGATCCATGTGGCTCATCTCCAATTAACTTTGAAGCCAGAAGTGCAGCTGTGGCTCAAGTGGTAGAAAGCTAGCCTTGAGCAAAAGAAGCTCAGGGACAGCACCCAGGCTCTGAGTTCAAGCCCCATGACCAACATAAAAACAAAATGGGGTAGGTGAATGAAGAAAGGAAGGGGGCAGGGAGAATGAAATCATAATGCATGATTGATGAAACTAGGAAAATTGAGGGGAGGGGTTAGATTGGGAGGCATTTGGGGAGAATGATGAAAGGGGTGACATTGATCAAGATGCACTGTATTTTTAAACTGACTGTTGGAGCTGGGAATGTGGCTTAGTGGTAGAGTGCTTGCCTAGCATGTATGAAGCCCTGGGTTCAATTCCTCAGTACCACATAAACAGAAAAAGCCAGAAGTGGTGCTGTGGCTTAAGTGTTAGCCTTGAGCAAAAGAAGCTCAGGGATGGTACCCAGGCCCTGAATTTAAGCCCCAGGACTGGCAATAAAATAAAAAATAAAAATAAATAAACTGACATGTTGAAGAATAACCTTTTTGTACCACTACTTAAAGATAATAAGAATATAATTAAAAATAACATTTAAATTTTTTTTAAAAAAAATGCAAAAAGTGGCCCAGAAAACTCAACAGACTATTAGTACTTTATGACTCTGTCCTACCAGCTCTACCTTGGTTTAGCTGGCAGCAAGAATAATGGTTGCCCATTCTAATGACAGTGGCTGGCCTTTATAAATTAGATTGTTGCCTACCTGCGGTCACTATTTTGTTTTAATTTATATTTTTTGGCTTATACATATTGATGTCAAAGTATTTTGTAGCTATCAGTGTTCTCTTTTATGCTTTTGGTACTATGGACAATTGCAACTAGTTTGTGATTAATTTACTGAGATGAAAATTTATAAAATCACTGACATGAGAACATGATGTTCTCATAACACTTTAAGCCAATCTAAAATTAAATTTTTTTTCTAACATAAATTACTATCTTTCTTTACCAATATTTCTTTAAGTGGAAAACCACAGGGAGGTTTTGAGGGGGGGGGAAGCTTTCATTTTGTTTGAAAGAATTCTTTTAGCAGAAACTGTGTATTACTGGTGTGTTCACTATGCCTAATATGAAACACATTGTATTTTGATCCACCTAACAATGTTGACCAACTAATTACAAGACCTTAAAAGGAGAGGGACTTAGATTTCATCTCCAAGTCTATGTTTTTCTGATATAGACATTTGTGTTTTCTAGCCATCTCTTAAAAATTTACTAATTGCTTAATTTGTTCTGTCTGCAATGACTGTCTCCTTAACAACATTTTTTTGCTTTTGTATTCTTTAGGGAAAATAGGAACAGTTGGCATAAGCACTTTTTGACCACAAGACAGAAGGCTGCAAATCTTGTTGCTGACATTGATATCTGCAATGGGAGGGTGAGGATTTACATTTAAAGGTGGCAGAAACCCAGGTCTGTTCTGCACAATACTATGATCAAAAGAAAAAGCTCCAGAACCACGCCTTTCTAAAATTGCATGATTTCTCCTGCTCAAGGAAGCTGGTGGGATATTCTCCAACAATTCTTTGGATCCTGACAACAGAGAAGGAGATGGTGAGAAGATTTTTTTCTTTCCTGTAACTGTTTTGCCATCTTCTCCTGTTGGAGGGGTTAGACCCTCTGAGAGCTGGGAATCAGAGCTGTAGTGATTAGCACCAGAGTTTCTTTTCTGAACTATACTTTTCAAGGTGGATGCAAATACTGTCTGGTTCTCATCTGGATCCTGGTCAACAGGGATTTCAATACATGGCTGATTTCCTTCCGGAAACAAAGACTGGAAGTTTATTTCATCATATGACATCTTCCTTGAGTTGGCCTGATCAAAGGCTCTGAGTAAATATGCAGTGTCTTTTACATCAATGCTTTGGTGTCTAGTGATGAATCTCTTGGAAAGTGCCAGTGCATTGGTTTTGTAGGATAATTCTTCCTCTGGAGTAATATCTTGGAGCTCTTCTTGCAAAGAGGCCACTCTATTTTGGTGCTTTAATGATGGTGGAGTCTTGATCCAGACTGGGTTCTGGGATACCTTGGGTCCATTAGAAGCCATTGCAGGTTTCCTTACAGGGGAGCCTGGGTCCCAGGTGTCGTCACTGCTTCTGGAGGACTCCCGATCTTTAAAGCCAAAAAGTGTCAGGTCAGTTTCAGAAGAGGGCGAAAGTGGCGACGAGGCTGTTTTGATGTCTATCTCTGATGGAGTAGTGCAGGTGGCTGGGGAGTGACCCCCATCAATATCTGCAGGAGGCATATTTAGGTACTGTTGAGTAGTATGCCTCCCAGAGGGGGATTTTGCCGTCGTTATGATGATGACCTCTTTCCCTTTCGCCTTGCAAGCACTAAGGAGAACATTCAGGGTCTCTCTGTCTTCTGCATTTATGGCATAAATCAGAGCTGAGTAACCAGAATGGTCTTGCAAGCTGAGGTCAGCTCCACTCTTGAGGAGCAAAGAAACCACTTCTGGACCAGCTTTTTCCAAGCAAGCATGCATTAGTGCCGTTTTCCCAGATTTGTCCTGGATGTTGGGATCAGCATTGTTCTCTAACAGGTATTTAACCATCTTGGCTTTACTGACACTCTGGTGATCAACATGTTTGGTCCTACATGCAATCATTAGAGGTGTTTCCCCTCGATCATTGCTCTCATTGATGTAAGCACCACCTTCTAACAAAAGTCTCGTGAGGCGAAGGCGGCTCTGATGGACTGCTTTGATCAAGGAATTCCCATCACTTGAAATTTCTGTACTTTCATCCATCCTCAAAAGTCAGAAATCAATACCTGGTTATCAAAGAAGATGAAGACCAAAAGGTGAGCCAAAACCAGCATCCCAACTTAAATTTATTTTGCTACTTAAAATTTCTGAAATGTGCAGATATAAATGGGCTATGCTATCAATACTTGTGGAGGAAAGATAGGAATTGCAAAATGAAAGAAATACAGGATAGCAATGACCTTCAAGGAATTACAACTAATATGAAATTTTAGTTATTGTAATTTGAAAGTGTAAATTTTCAAAATCTTTCTTGAATATTTATGATTTAGCTGTAACATTGTACTTTCCAAAATATCACATTAAACAATAATATATGGATTTTCTATCTGTGAGAAATAGCTCCACTTCTGGCTTTTTGATGTTTAACTGGAATAACAGTCTCATGAATTTAATACCTGGGCAGGCTTTGAACTGCAATCCCCTAGCCACTCAGCTTTTGAGTAGCTAGGATTACAGGCGTGAGTCACTGGTGTCCAGCAACTAAAGAATACTTTAAAGAATATCAGCCCACAAAGACAAAAAAGGAGAGAGAACAGCAACACATTTTGAAAGCCAAACAAGCCAATGGTAACTGATTTAACCTAAGAAAGCTGCACCTCATGTCAATGGGGGTAAGAGCTAGGAACTAAACCCAGGCCCAGTACAGAATTCTCAAAATATGTAGCCTCAGGAAGTTATAGAACTGAGATTAGGGTGGGGGGTGAAGACTTAAGCAAAGATTAGGAGGGTCTGGTGAAAAGCTGTTAGAAGCACAAAGGCTGTGCTAATTGAAGTATAATCTACCTTGGGCCAGCAGCAGAAAGTGGCTGAAAGCAGACAATCTTAGGCTCCAGCCCTGAGCCACTGAATCATAGCCTAAATTTTGCCTGGCTGCAAATTTGAGAAGTGCTACCATGGTGGTTCCTCCATCACTAATCCCTGACAGGCAGACCCTAAGGGATGTCCAGAGATTTGTTCTCAAAAAAAGATGAAATAGTAGGTGTCTGGACTGGAGATGCTCTTCTCTTTGGAGCAAAAGCTGGGGAGAGAGGAAAGGGTGGGGTTGGCAATTGTTTGTATGCTGACCATTACCTAAAAGGACTCACAACCCACTTCCCTCAGCTACCCTACAAGATGGTTGGCAGCCTACCTTACCTCCTGGGCAAAAATTGCTATACTCTTCTCTCAAGACTAGGACCTGCCTAAGAGAAAGCACATAAGGTACTGAGCTCACATGTCACCAGATCACTGCACAATAATGATGATTACAGGTGACAAGCCTCACCTGTAGGCTCTGGGACTCTTACCATCTTTTCAGACCCAACTCTTTGTCTATGAATAGTCCAAACAACAACAACAAAAAAAAAACAGGAAACAACCAGAAGGCCTCTTACATTAAAACAGAAACCAAAACAAGTAGGAAAAGTAACTTGGAGGAAACAGGTTGTAGTTAGGAAAATGAAAACTTCACTCAGTGAGATGTTGTAAGCATGAAACAAGAGTAAGAAGATTCTTTGACAAAGTGTTATTCAGAAAATACACGAAGAACTCTCAAAAGGAAAGCGTATAATACAAAACGGCAAAACTCAATAGAAGAGTTGGATGACAACGTGATAAAATCTCTAACATACTTAAGCAAAAGAATAACAAAAATGGGGGCTGGGAAGGTAGCTCAGTGGTAGAGTGCTTTCCTTGCATGCATGAGGCCCTGGATTTGATTCCTCAGCACCACATAAGCAGAAAAAGCTAGAAGTGGCGCTGTGGCTCAAATGGTAGAGTGCTAGCCTTGAGCTGAAGGGCTGAGGGACAGCGCCCAGGCCCTGAGTTCAGGCCCCATGACCAGCAAAAAAAAAAAAAAAAAAAGAAAGAAAACAAAAATGACGACAACAACAACAAAAAAACGACAGCACCAGGCTAGGAACTCCAACATTCAAATAGAAGTTCCAGTAAGGAAAAAAAAAAAATAGGAAAAAGAGATAGCAAGAGAAGGATAAAATTTCTAGGACAGGCGATGGTAAGTGTCTCACACCTGTAATCCCAGCAACTTTGGCTAAGATCAGGAGAGTTGTGCTTCATAGAAGAGTGGGCAAAAAGTCCTCCACCTCATCTCAACATGTGATAACATGCAGCTGGCATCTCAGCTACAGCGGGAAGTATAAACTAAGAAGTTCATGGTCCAGAATTGCCTGGGAAAAAAAGCAAAACTGCATCTAAAAAATAAACCAGAGCCAGGCACTGGTGGCTCACACTTGTAATCCTAGCTACTCAGGAGGCTGAGAGGACGGCAAGTTGAAGGTAGCCTGGGCAGGAAAGTCCTTAAGAGTCTTACCTCCAATTATTCACAGAAAAAGCCAGAAGTGATATTGTGGCTCAAGTGGTAGAGTGCTAGACTTGATCAAAAGTTTGCCCAGGATTGGCAAAAATAAATAAACCAGTGCAAAAAGGGCTAGAGAGTAGTTGAGTGCTTGCCTAGCAAAAGTGTGAGGCCGAGTTCAAATCTCAGTACTGTAAAGAAGAAGGAAAAGGAAAGAAGTGAGGAAGGAAAAGAGGGAGGAAGGGAGGAAGGAAAGGAGGGAGGGAAGAAGGAAGGTAGGAAGGGAGAAAGGGAGGAAGCAACAAGGGAGGGAGGAGGGAAGGGAGGGAGGGAAAAAAATTTATAGCTGAGCATGCTGGTGCATCTTAGCACGGACGGGAGATTGAGAGTTTGAGACCAGCCTGGACTACAAAGACCCTGCTTAAAAAAAATTCTAGATTCGCAGATATGAGTTACCAAATTGAAAAGGCCTAATTACAATATAGCCCAATGAATGATATTGACCTTGACACATGCTTGTGAATTTCCAGAACAGAGAACAGAAAAGATTACATGGACTTGTATGAGTAGGTCAGGAAGGCGCTTCAGGGTATGGAGATAAGTCACATATGAACTGATCAAGAATTGGTACAGGGGCTGGGAAGTTGGCTCAGTGGTAGAGCGCTTGCCTTGCATGCCTGAGGCCCTGGGTTCAATTCCTCAGCACCACATAAGCAAAAAGAAAAAAGCCGGAAGTGGCACTGTGGCTCAAGTGGTAGAGCACTAGCCTTGAGCTGAAGGGCTGAGGGACAGCGCCCAGGACCAGAGTTCAGGCCCCACAACCGGACCAAAAAAAAAAAAAAAAAGAATTGGCACAGATGCAGATATGGGAACAACAACAATGGAACATAATGGAGAAATGTCTTTAAAAATATGAAGAAAAAATTATCCTAAGCTTTGAAGTATACTTTAGCCAAACTATCAAGCAAGAATTAACTGGAGATATACTCTATCAGGATGAAATAGTAAACAAGTAAACATGAAAATGACAGAAGACAGATCTTTAGAGAAGAGATGTGCTCAACACCTCCCCTGCGGCCCCGCGCGCTGTCCCCCCCCCCCCGAAAAATGCTAAAGAGCTGTCTATGGTACACACAGACATCCTCTCTAGGATCCACCTGCCATTTTACCATGTACCACCTGAGAGCCTGCCTACCCATCAGTTCTGGTTTCTACTTGCTGTGTCAAGATACACCTCTGCTTTCTCCTTGTCCTGCTATCTGTGTGTAGGCTGACAGTGCTCACTTCTGCTCTTCCCATTCACCATGTTCTGACGTCTGGGAGAAGTCCTGGGCTCAAGAGAAGGAGGGAACAGCCCTCTCCCTTTGCATCCTAGGACTCACTGCTGATCTTGAGGTCATCTTGTTAGTGCTCAGGGATGCTGAGCATTCTTCATTTGTTTCTTTTGTGCCTTTCACCCAATTAAGTAATTATGCTATTTAGGGGCCATTTATAAGTAGAAAATAAGAAGGAAAGGGGTGGGACTCAGGAGAACAAGGCAAGTCGGGAGGGACATTGAGCTTCACATAATGTTCTGTCTCTCAACTTAGACAGTATATATAAATATATAAGGGTGTCTGCTTTTTATTCTTTAACTAGTATTTATTTTAAGCCAGGCACTGGTGGCTCACACCTGTAGTCCTAGCTACTCAGGAGGCTGAGTTCTGAGGATCATGGTTCAAAGCCAGCCCAGGCAGGAAAATCTGTGAGACTCTTATCTCCAGTAAATTACTAGAAAACCAGAAGTGGCACTGTGGTTCAAGCAGTAGAGCACTTGCCTTGAGCTGAAGAGCGCTAAGATAGCACCCAAGCCCAGAGTTCAAGCCCCATGACTGACCCCCCCCAAAAATAGTATACATTTCACATAATCTTCTGTATAATACTGTTCTCATTTATTTATTGCAAATAGAACATGTATAAGAAAAAGAGCATATGTGAACATATAACATTATTAGAATTTAGTCATAATAAATTTTGTTTATATTTGTATATATACAAATAATGTATTTAGAGTTGAATTATTATTATTATTATTATTATTATTATTGTGCTGGAGCTTGAACTCAGGGCTATGAATGCTTAGCTTGCTTGCTCAGCTGGCACTCTACCACTTGGGCCATGTCCCCAGGCTTGCTTTTTGCTGGTTATGTGGAGGCATGGTCTCATGAACTTTTCTGCTGGGACTGGCTTTTTTTTGGTCAGTTGTGGAGCTTGAACTCTGGGCCTGTGCGCTGACCCTGTGCTCTTCAGCTCAAGGCATTCACTCTACCATTTGAGCTACAATGCCACTTCCAGGGTTTTTTTTTTTTGTTTTTTTTTGGGGGGGGATCCAGTCGTGGGGCTTGAACTCTGGGCCTGGGCGCTGTCCCTCAGCTCTTCAGCTCAAGGCTAGCAGTCTACCACTTGAGCCACAGCACCCACTTCTGGTGCTGAGGAATCGAACCTAGGGCCTCATGCATGCAAGGCAAGTGTTCTACCACTGAGCCACCTTCCCAGTCCCTACTTCCAGTTTTTTGAGTGGTTAATTGGAGATAAGAATCTCATGGACTTTCCTTCCCAGGCTGGCTTTGAACTGTGATCCTCAGATCTCAGCCTCCTGAGTAGCTAAGATTACAGGTGTGAGCCACTGGTGCTTGGCTGCTGAAACTAGCTTTAAACCATAGCAGCAGAAGGTATTATTGACTGTATTCATGCCTAAATATTTCATCTGAGTACTGTGAATTCCTAAAAGGTGGTATTCCACTTGGTTATCATTCATGATGCAAAAACAAAGGTCAATTATTCAATAAACATGTCCCTAAACAAGTGGCAGTGAGTGCTTGGATATTATGCCCTCCCATTGTTACATGCCAGACCTAAACATACCAGTAATGCAGGAAGGCAGGAATTAAGAATCTGTTAGCAATCTGGTTCCAACTCAGAGCTCTATTCTGGAAACAAAGCATTTCAAAAGAGCCCATGTGAGACAATGAGTACAAAAGAAACCTCTTAGCATTTGTTCACAAACAAACGGTTTTGATATGGCTAAGAAATTTGCAGGAGTAAGTTGGAACATAATAGCAAATACAGAAATACACTTGGTAACTGCAGTCCAAGAAATATACTTCCAATTATTAAAACATACACACACACACACACACACACACACACACACGTTAAAAAAAAACTTGGACGTAAGCATATTATAATCTCCTATACTTCTATAGTTTGGAAAGTCTTTTTTTTTTTTTTTTTTTGTAGGTCATGGGGCCTGAACTCTGGGGTCTGAGCACTGTCCCTCAGCTCTTTAGCTCAAGGCTAGTGCTATACCACTTGAGCCACAGTGCCACTTCCAGGTTTTTCTGCTTATGTGATGCTGAGGAAATGAACCCAGGGCCTCGAGCATGCAAGGTAAGCACTCTACCACTGAGCCACCTTCCCAAACCCTATTTGGAAAGTCTTTTACTTGTTTTAGAAGAACTTTTGGGGGAGCTATCAGACTTTTTACCCACTCTCATATAAAGGATCTTCTCCACAACACTAGACCTGGGTACTTCCTAGAATCACGAAAGAGAAGAATAGCTAGCAATGTGCTGGTGATGGGATGCCTGAATCTGGTATTGGAGTCAGGATACCTAGACAGGATGACCTAGGATCATTTTCCATAGGCCCTCTGAGTCCTGTGGAAAGGAGAATGCTGTGACTCCAGAGTCTCAGAGAAGCTGAGCAGCACCCCAACTGGATGTCCATGTATATAATGGCAGACTCTCTCCCTAGAGGCCTGGAGTGTTGTCTTGAAAACATGATGCCATGATGTTTGTTATTTCTTCTTTATCTATCTATCTATCTATCTGAACTCTTGGCCTGGGCGCTTTCCCTGCATTCTTGAGCTCAAGGAGAGAGCTTTACTGCTTAAGCCACACCACCACTTCTGTTTTTCTAGTATTTTATTGGCGATAAGAGTCTCATGAAGTTTCTTATCCAGGCTGGCTTTGAATCGTGATCCTCAGATCTCAGCCTCCTGAGTATCTAGGATTACAGGCATGAGCCACCGACACCTGGAGCTTTTCTTATTTTTTAACAGACAGTGCCATGCTATGTTTCCAGGCTAGCCCTGGGCTAAAGCTATCTTCCTGCTTTAGCCTCCTGAGAAGCTGGGATTATAGAAACATGTCATTGCATTTTCTATCATGGCTATTAAAGCCACTTGGTTTGTTCCCACTTAGTACGATTCTGTTGTTACTTAAACAATAAAACGTGCAGAGAAAAAAAGTTGTTAAATACTTTATCCTCCAAATGCATAATACATGTATGGGTTCCTAGTGTTCATTGTATAATCTGTGCCTTACTGGAATATTTCCTGTGTTTTTAGTCCTTTATCTTCTTTCAGGTAGTTCTTTTATCTTGCTTTATCCATTTATACACCAAAAGTGCCAACATTTAAGCCTGACTTATATTTCACTATGTTTGATGTGACTACTTCCCTGCCTTGAATGTTCTTTCATCCTGTCTCCGCCTGTGAGAAGCATCCTGCCTGAACACCCAGAACTGGTGTCATATTAGCGTCCAATCAATCCCTTTGTTACATTTTAGACAATTCTGAGGTTCAGGTACCCCTTTCATATATATAATCAACTGGAAAGAGCTCAGGGTCAGATAGAGCTAGATTTCAATTGTGATTCTCCTTCTTACTAGATGCTTATAGTATGTCTGGTTAAGTCTTAGCCTCTCAGATTGAGTTCATCTCCTGTGCGATGACAATTGTATATCACTCATTCCATGCAAACGTGAAAATGAAATTGTATAATGTTAGAAGGAGACGTTTTTCTGTTGTATCTTCTGCTCACTATTTTTTAATGTATCTCAAAATTTAGCCTTCTTTTATTTTGATCACATCTCAAATCTGTAGCCTATTTAAGCAACAGCTAAAATGTTGAAAAAATGTTTAGAATCTATAATAATAGTTGGTAAAGCATGCAAGGAATTTAATAAGTGGGCAATGTCCTTTATGTATGTACATTTTCCAAATACCATTATTTCAGCATCATTGTAAGATCTTAATTATTAACCATATTAATCTTTAACAAAACAAAGATTGATTCTCTGGACAAATGGATCAGAAAGGCTCCAGACTTGCAGACAGAATGCTGAAAATGAGGACTAAGAGCCTGTGGGCTGAACAGTACTATCCCTTGCTCTGTCCTGCTACTGGGAGACTGGGAGCCAGAAAAAAAAAAGTAAAAACATTGCATTTAGAATTTTGTGCCCTAGTAAAAATATCTGTTGATAAATGAAGCAATTCAAACCATAATGACACATACCCTTTGAAGCAGACACCCACTCCAAACAGAAATAGAAAATTACCTGAAAACATGATTCCAGATTTCATAGTTTACTTTAGTCTCTTCTCTCCCCTTAGATGAGGTTTTCTACCACCAGCTGTCAGTTCCTACCAAGGAAATCAAAGCTATTCAGACTCATATAAACACCAACGATTTGTTACGCGCATTTGGAGTCTAGTTTTTTAATTCCTTGTTAAGAAATCTTTACAGTGTTCAGTTTATCACATTTCACTGATTATGAGTTTGTAAAAACATCTGGAGTGGATCCTTTGCACAGCAACTGGGTATGTGTCTGTTTGCAGAGTCTGACCAGCAGTGAGTGCTTGGTGGAGGGCGTAGAGAGCCTGGTCATTCACATGGCCCCCATTTTGTGAAGCTGAGGAGACTGAGGAGGGAAAGCCCCTCATCTTACTCACTTGCCACGGGTTTAAATGAAAGGTTCTGTGCTTTTACCTTAATACCTCCATGGTAGTGAGAATGTGGGCTGAAGTGCTTTGAAAGCCATCTTGGAGGTGACAGGCAGGAATTTTCCTGCAGTTATATTTTTTTCTCCCCATTTCTGCCTTTACTAATATCTCTAAGGAGGATCCATGCTCCCTCCCATAAAATGAGTGGTTTGGCCATGGTAGAGGAGGGCCTGCTTGAAGATGGGGGGCACCATAAATGGGTGTTAAGCTCAGAACTCACTCCTTTTCCCTGTCCCTAGTCACTGGCATTCTACATTCCGTGCAAGAGGCATCAGGAACCTGGCTTCGCTCTCTCACTTTCTCTTCAAGTTATCAACATATGAGAAGTCATTCTAAACTAGAAATAATATCTACTTTGTAGCAGATGATTGTGAGGATTTTTACAAAACCTACATACACACTTGCTACTTAGGAATTCAATAGATATCAGTTTCCAAATATAAATCAGCAAGTAAGAGTTCCTGCCTATGTGTTCCATCTCTGGGCTTGGTGGGATCTGACAATGAAAGGCCAAGTTTAATACATCAATGGCTTCTCCATCCTAAGGATCACATGAGCCTGTTGCATAGATTCCTCATTCCGGCCCTATCCGCAGTCAACCTCTGTCTCCAGCTTACATAGATTTGTCTCCATCTTCACCCCGGGATGGTTTGATGCTTAACTTACCTAGTGGAGAGAAGAGCCAGGTCAGTTGCCATATCCCAGAGAAGGGTTAAGGGAGCTCTCAAGTCCCAGGGAGACTTAACATTGGGTTGGAACTGACCTGGATGGGAGGTTTGCTGATCTTCTGAGGCCTGACGAAAACCAGAATCCCAATGGGCAACACAAAGCCAGGATGTAGAGGCCCGCTGTGCTTGAAATGATGCAAACCTGCCAGCCACAAGCTCAGCGTGTCTCCTCTCTAGCTAGAGGAAATGGGCTCCGTCCCCAGCAAGGAGAGGTGCAGAGCCAGCGCAAAAGGCAGCCACCAGAGATGGTCTGGAAAAGGGAACGACTGGCCAGCAAGAGTGCACTTCCCGGCTACTGTTTCCTAAGAGATATTCAGAAACAGCCCAAGGAAAAGAGGAGTTGGGAAGCTTTTGTTGTGTTTCCCACAGCTATTTTCTAGTTCCCTCCGGCCTGTAGGTCGGGGCCACAGGGCAACTGATGCCCCACCATCTTTGCGTAGATCCCTTCCTCGGCAGAAGAAGAGGTAAAATAAGAGGCAGGCAGACTGAACCTCAAACCTGCACCTACCTTCAAGTCTTTGAGAACCAAGGTGAGTGGATGCCCGAGCTGCTGAGAAGGCTGGTGGCCCCTTCACGGTCCCTCCCCCGCGGTCGTTTCCTCGGATTTTTTCCAGAAGCAGGAAGGAGCAAGGGCAAGGCACTGTCAGAGAAGGGCAAAGGAAGGTGACTGGGGCGACAGTGCTGGGGCACGGGCGGGGGCGGGGTGCGCAATCGTCGTCTCCTCTCTACGCCAGGGCCAGAAGCGATTGCCATCCATGAAAATAGGCTGGGCTCCGTTGCCTCTGCCGAGTGGCTCCCCGCCGGGGGAACGCGGCCCTTCCTTGGGAAATGGCGCGTCTGGGGAGGGGACAGCCATTGCACTCCTCCTGAGGCAGGTGAGCCTTTGCACGTCCCAGCTGGGGTCTGGTTTCCGAATGCCATAGATGTGCGCGCCCCGGAGCCACGGGGACCCAGCCGCCAACCCCTAGTATGGCTCTTCTGGAACAGCCGGTGGCTGCCAACAGCCCCCAGCCCCCAGCCCGCCCTCGGGGCCCGTCCCGCCCGTCCCGCTGCCCAGCGGCCCTGGCCCCTGCGGAGGCGCGAGCCAGACCGACCCTCCGACCCGCGCGCTCCCGCGGCGGCGCCGGCACTCTGCACCCCGCGGTCCCCGTCCGCTCTGCGAGGCCCACAAGGAGGCAGAACCTGCATCCCAGCTGCCGCCAGCTGGAGCCCTAAGCAGGAGGGCACTGCGGGAGGGGGGGGGGGAGACTCCGGCAGAACGCGCCCCGGGGTGGCGGGCCAGTGGTTCATTTTGGCTGCGGGGGGTGGGGGCGGCGAGGGGCTGCAGCCCGCGGGCCCTCGGCCGGCCGGGTCTCCCCCGCCAGGGCGCTGCAGTGTCTGGATGCGCGGGAGGTGTGGACACCCAGGGCCTGAGCCGTGGCACCGAGCGGGGCGCACGGAGGCCAGGCGATCGCGGGGCCCCTGGCTGCGCCCTAGATGCCCTTCTCCCAGCAGTCGCCCCGGACACCCAAAGTTTCCCCAAGTGCAGCGGGCAGACACGGCGCAGCACACTGACCTGGGACGCGCTGTCGAGTTGGCGATGGCGCCCGCTGCCTCCCCCGGCTGCTCCCACCCTGGTTGCTGGTGGCCCCTGGGGCTCTGTCGGATCTGGGCTGTGATCTTCAGCACCACGGTGGACCTTGGATCCTGGTAAGTGCCTCCCGGTTCCCGCCCCTGCTTTGGCAGAGACTGGCGGTTGCGGGCGGCGAAGCGCAGCGTTGGAGTGGGAGCCCGGAGGCGCGCACCTCGCCAGACGCCCGGGTGGCGCGGCGCTTCCGCTGCGAGTGACGCGCCGGCTTCCCGCTGCCTGCAGGTGGGGGCGGCGGGCCCGCGCGGCCCCGCTGGCCAGAAGATGCTCCCCGAAGCCCCGCCTTCTGTCCTCACAAGCCCCGCCCCTGACCACCACCACCACCACCACCATCCATCTCTGGCCACCTAGCTTGGGTCCAAGCACAAGGGCGTCAGTTTTTTGTTTTTTGTTTTTTTCTGTAAAGATCATGTTCCTGGGACCGCTGGTCAGCGGCTTGCACCCAACATTCCCCCACCAGCTCATATCAACCCTGCTGGTGCATGATTCTGCCCTTCTCCATGTCCTTCTCTCCTGTTATTATCCCTGTACCCCACTTAGTGGAAGCCAGAGAGTCACACACATCAGCTTGGAGTGTTAGTGTTTTTATTTTATGACTACCTAGCCCTATTACTCTATTATTGAAGTTTAATGTATAGCTTAACAAAATTCCACAAAAGAAATGTCATATATTAAACTCCACCAAGAGATCAAGGAAAAAGGAATTAAGTAGAATTAACTGGTTTAACTCTTCATTTATCATGGACTGTCTGATTGGAGAAAATATCGATATTTTCCATTGTTCAGATAATGTCAATGAACACAGCCAGTAATTCTCCCCAAATGGGGAAGGTAGATTGATCTCTCTGGGCTGGCTCTTTATAGAGGAAAACAGCCGAAACAAATGCAAAGCACGTTCCAAGGACAAGCTGCTCCAAACATGGGCTCTGAAGGAGCTGGAATCCTGGGTCTAGGTTACCGTTTTTCGGTGCTCATTTGAGGGCATAGGGAAGAGAAGAAAGAAAACAAAAACAAGAACAAAACAACAACTGGGCAGGTTTTCATGAAGGCATCCTTCTCTTCCCTTCCACCCTTTAAAGTTTGTACTAATGCACAATTTACACATCAAAAGATGCACATTCACAAGTTATCTGAAGCCTCCTCTAGATCAAGCAACAGAACATTACCAGCTCCTAGAAGTCCCCTCTTATATTCTTGGGACGATTATTGATTTCCAACAATAAGGTTGATATTGCTTGTTTTTGCACTTTATAACACCAGAATATGCCCTGTGGTGTGGCTTTTCTCCTCAATACTATGTTTAAAAGATGCATACTGTTGTGTGGTTGTCACTCATTCCTCTTGACATACAATATTACAGTAGATGTATGTACTTCAATTTGTTTATTTTTCCCCTAATAGACATGGATTAATTCTCAGGTTTGGGATGTTACAAATAAACCTACTATGGTAATAGATGCTGGTTGGTGAACATACATATGGATTTCTTTTGGGTACATACCTAGGAATGGAATGTGAGTCATAAAGTAGGCATATGTTCACTTTCTGAAGATATTGCTGCTTTGTAAAGTAGATGATCCCATTTTCACTCTATTAGTATCCAGTTGCTACTTGTGATCAAATATGTATCACTACAAGTTTAGTGATTCAAACCAATACAAATTTGCTTTCTTACCCTCTAGATTTCATGTGGCTAAAGTCAAGGTGTCAACAGGGTTATGGGTGTGTTATCTCTGGAGGCTCTGGAGGACACCCCATTTTCTGCTGTTTCTAGCTTTTAGAAGCTGTTTTGCATTCTTTGGCTGGTGGCCCCTTTCTGTATTCTCAAGTCTCTCTCTCTCTCTCTCTCTCTCTCCCCCTCCCCCCTCTGTTCTTCTTCCCTCCCTCCCATTTTCCACTGTTTATGTTGTCCTATCTCTTTCTTCCTCTGACTATCCTGCCTCACCTTCTTGAGGACTTTTGCAACTACACTTGGACCCACTTGGATAATCTGCCATCTGAAGGTTCTTAATTTAACCACCCTGAAAAACTCCTCTTGCAATGGCAAGTAACGTTTTTCTAGGTTCTAGGAATGAAGATATGTTTTAGGTACAAGTTAAAGTAGATTTTTGGATTTGATAAGCATCCTGTCCAGAAATTCTTCAATCTGCTTTCTATCTTTTAGAAATAAGATAAAAAAAATCTGATCCTACTGATCAAGATATAGAGACCTGTGTGTGATTAGTCTGCCCTCTTGAATGAAAAAATCCCATGGTTATCATTAGCCTAGCTATCAC